AACCGCTCTGTCATAGGTGTCGTAAGTCTTCCCTAAGATACCTTCCTCCTAGAGGAACGACCTTGAGACCAAAGCTGTGCCAGCTTGCGATTGTAGATAATGGGATCGTATATTCCCAGGTGTGTGAGGGGGTAGTGAACGCAAGAGCTAGGTGGGATGGCTGCGGAATGTGACTGGTTATTTCCCAGGGGGCCCAGTTTGAACTGTCTGTATTTTTGGACTTTCCCACCAGAACCTCAGTTCTAACACGGTAGTGTTCTAGCCTGGATCATGCTGGTATCTCAATAAATCAATCATTGCCAAAGAGTGTGTTGTTGGGAGGCTCTTGACCAGAAGTCTGACATGCAGTCCTGCTCAGAGCCCAGATTCCTAATCCCACTCTTAAGCAGGTTAGCATCAAGACCAGGAAAGCTGGAATGAAGACATACCTGTGTTTGGTTCCCATTCATCCCCAAATCACCTCAACTGCCTGCTTTGCTTCAGAGGACGGTGGGCCTGTGGTTTCAATCTGTCTTTTGACCTTCAAGGTCAGGGTTTCTTTCCCTCTCCTGCCCGCAAAGGAAAGAGTTGAGAGGCCTGCCTCTTCTGAACAAACAAGTGAAGGGGGGGGGCACAGTTTAGCTGCAGAACGGCTGCATAATATTTGTGACCCAAACATTGGCCCAAACAGACAGACAAGACAAGCCAGTTATAAATGTAGATATGCACTAGCCTGTATTAAGAAAGGGTTGTGTGGATGCAATCAGGAACATAAAGAGCCAAAAAGACTTTTTGGGGGGCTATACGCTTTCATTTGCCTTTCCTGGAATTTTGCCACATTCCAAAGAAGTATTTGCTAAGACAACAGGATAATTTAATTAAGCCACTATAAGTAACATTTTACAGCAGAACTTTAGTGGGTTTTAAAAAAACAAACCTTTTTACCGTACAAGAAAGATGCCTTCTATTTTCCCCACAGAAAGCTTAAACCCTCAAAAACCTGATTCTGTCAAACATCTTTATCTGGAAACAGGACTTCAGGTATCTCTCCACATGAAAACTGCTAAGGGAATATCACCTGTAAGTTCACAGTTGAAAATCAAAATTGAGTTTCTCTACTAAGCAACTATTTCTGCATATGGTGAACAACGGTCCTTCTGAAACCTCTGATAAATTCTATAGTTGCACTGAAGTTCCCTGAACAGTTTTAAAAGGTCGCTTTGCAAGAGACAAGTTTACAATTTGGTATCTTTGTACAATCAGGATGGCTTTGTGGCTGTCTTTGCCTGGCACGTGTTCAAGCCTACACGGCAGTTCCTCTTTCCAAGTTCTGTTTGATCTCTGCTGTGTATTTGCCATAGAACCTTTCAGCCTTCTTATTGAACTTGGCGTTCCTCTCATTAATGTAGTCAATATCTGCATCATCATTGTAAGGACGCCTCCGGCTGTATTTCTCACGTTTTTGGATTCTGGAAGAGAAATTGAGAATTGAGGCTTGATATCCAAATCTTTTTGCGCATGTGTCTGCATATGTAAATAAGCATATCTACATTTATTTAAGAGAGAGACTTGGACCCTACTGCTCTCATCTGCTAAATGAGGGATCTTCTTTTGGAATAAGACTCCTTCCAGACTCCAGTGAAAGATCTCTCCATTAGCAGAAGAGAATGACTGAATCCAGCCCAATGTCTGCATAGCACTGGTGGGCAAATTATAGCCCATCAGCCACATGGGGCCCCCAGGAGCTTTTCAGATAGCCCTCAAGTAGGTTAATCTGCAAGGAGCTTTGGCCCACCAGATTGCAGCAGCAGCAAGGCTCCTGGCCTACTGCTGATGGCACTCAGCCCCAAGCTGTTCAACAGCAGTAAAGTGGGAGAGAAAACCACATCAGGGTCTCTACCTGCTTTTGAGGGATCTGAATTGGTTCTTCCTGTCACCAGCACTGGAAACAAAAGAGTCAGCTCAGCACCCCCAGAAGCAAGTGGAAATCCAAAGGCAGAATTCAAGCAGAAAAAAACGTCCTAGTTGTTTTGGACAGCAAAAAATATCGAAAAACAACTGTGAGCTGAATTTCCCGCAAAATATTCACAAAGGAGACTTCATCAAAGTGAAATGCATCTATTGTCTGGGATAAATCTATCCATATAATCCATCATAAGAAAACGTAGAAGCCAAAGAATAAATATACAAGATAAATATCCAAAAAGTCCAACACTTTTCCTAGGGGATTTTTCCAATGTTTCAGACTTCTGGTTCTTTCTCAGGAAAAAAGAGCAACTACTGAGAGTCTCATTACATCTCCTTTCAAGATAATGCTTTTGTATTACTCATTGGGCAAGATCTCCTTAGCTCTAATCTGCACCCCTAAAGGCTGCTTCAATGTATCAGGACCATATGAAGAAAATCTACACCCTTTGCCTGTGCTAGTCTTGCACAGTCAAATGGATGGAGTCAGGGTGGGGGAGAGACCACCACTGGATTCAGGCAGTGGTCTCTTGTACCGCTCCTTCTCCTCTCCTCAGCCAATCCAATTCTTTCACATCTCTGCTTAGTAAATAACAAAGAAGTCACAGGGCTGAAATTCAGAAGTCACTAATGGCATTTGCTACTTACTGTTTTTCAAGATCCTCAACCATTTTATCAACCCCTTCTTTACAAGGCACATGAGTTCCATGGAGAAGGCTATTTGACGTGGGATAAAACTCTTCACCACTGAAAGAGGGGGAGAAAAATCAGTGACACTTTAATATGCCAAGTCAGAATGAAGCTTTGGTTAAAATCAGCTTTGTAGGACTCTTTATCAGAGGAACGTTAAGAGTGCTTCAAAGCAAGCAGAGATGCTGTTCCAAGACAGAATACACAAAACAGTGGCACTATTCAGAGAAATCAGACACTCCACCGTTAAGTGAAGCAGTTGCACTGATAACTTACATGCCCTAGAGCTCCGTCTGTAAGCCACATTTGTTTTCTCTTTTCAGGTAGAGCTGTAGGTAAACTGAAATTCTACTAACATAATCACAGAACCTGCCCTATAATCCATGTGTGGTTGAGAGTAGAAACCACCCACAAGGAAAAAAAGAGAACCGCTACTTGCCCAAAGGGCTAATTGAAAAGCGTCTTTAAAAGCCATCACAGAATTTCCAGGACTCATGAGTCTTGATCCTGCCTACCAAAAAACCTACTACCTACTCATTACATTGCTTCTTTGTGCATTCAGAATACTGAACTTGCCCAACTGAGGAAGGAAGTACCTTATACATTCTACAAAATCCACTTATTCCTTAGCAGAAAATAAATTCAAAAAAATAACCTGAAAAACTTCTGCTTTTGTCTCAGGGAGATTTTTTTATTTATTTAAAATATTTATTAGTTGCCTTTCATCCTACAGAGCTCAAGGTAGCTTACAATATTAATAATACACATAAAGATTTAAAAACATTCCAATTTAGGACTGCTTTAATTAACAGCTGCCTCCTAAAGACTGAAAGTGAGGGGGCCAGGCATACCTCCCTGGGGAGGTTGTTCCATAGTGGGCCAGCTGCCACTGAAGAAGAAGAAGAAGAAGAAGAGATTGGATTTATACCCCGCCCTTCACTACCCAAAGGTGTTTCAGAGCGGCTTACAAACTCCTTTCCCTTCCCCTCCCCTCCCCACAACAGCCACCCTGTGAGGTAGGTGGGGCTGAGAGAGCTCTGACAGAAACTGCTCTTTTTCAAGGACAGCTCTTATCAGAACTACGGCTTGCCCAAGGCCATCCAGCCAGGTGCAAGTGGAGGAGTGGGGAATCAAACCCGGTTCTCACAGATTAGAGTCCGCGCACTTAACCACTACACCAAACTACACGAGAAAAGGCCCTATCTCATGTATGCAGCACCACATAAGCATCTTTGATTTTTTTTTTTAGATTTTTAATAATATATCCCTCCAAGAAAAAAAAATACAGCCTCTTGGATTGATAGGACAGGAGTGCCTCTCCCTGTGATCTTAATTCTCAGGCAGGAACATACAGGAGAAGACAAGACAGTCCTTCCGATAACCTGGTCCCAAGCCACACACGGCTTCTTTCCTAAGACATCTCCCCACTTCTAGTCATGAAAGAGCCACAGAACCCGGCCAAGGCTCCACTCTGGCCACCCTTCTAGGGTCTACAGACTATACACAACCCAGCTTCTCCAGAAGGGGCTGCAACAACTGACTTACAGTGGCTTGAGCTTTCACGGCCCACAGATCTGATGAGCCACTCAACTAAGGAAGTTCCTTCTGCCATTAAAAATGAATTATACTTCTGGCACCACAACATGTTTACTCTGTTGCAATCGTTCACATAAATTAGAAACATAAAATGACTCTCATAGTTCCACCATCCAAAGCATCTCAATCAATGTTCCCTCTAAGCTGCGGAGTCTTGTGAGCAAAAATTCTACTTTGTGAGCTGCTGGCATTAAAGTTGTGAGCAAGAGATTTGGCTACTGCATAAATTAGTTTGTTCTGGAGCCATCCTTCCTGAGCTAAGACAAAAATGTGTGAGCCAGAGGCTCAAAAACTGAGCTAGCTCACACTAACTCAGCTTACAGGGGAACACTGATCTCAATGTATGTGTGCCCACTTCGTACAGGCATATAATCTACTTTTAAGGGTGTGTAAAGACATGCCAGCCTGAGCCAGGGGTGTGTGAAGTATGATCCAAAGAGACAAAACATTACTTCATGTCCCCACAATGCAAACAAGCTCCACCTCTTCAGAAGCCTCTATGGGAATTGTACCAGCAGCTACCAAAACAGACAGTTATAAGCAGGGCTTTTTTAAAAAAATTAATAAACGAGGTGCCGGAACTCTCAAGAGGGAAACGACGTTTTCAATCTGTATACTGAAAACTCATGAACTTTTAAACATTTTAAAAGAATTTTGTCAAAGAGGTTCCAGAACTCCATTCCAGGGTGTTCCCCCAGGGAGAAAAAAAAGGCCTGTCTATCAGCACCCACAAATAATCTGCTTTGAGTCCTCTTAGCACTACTGCCTCCCGTTTGTCCTTTCAACCAGTCACCCTCTGGTAGCAACTGGCTTCTTCTAACAATGAAGAGGGAGCTGGAGACTGCTGGTGAGCTGCCACATATGCTGAGGAGGCTGGAAGGGGTTGTTCCAGCGCTCTCAGTTCTGACAGTTACTCTTTTAGTCACCCGCAGGATTCCAGCCCATGGGAGGGAGTTCACAGGCAACTGGGAGAACTGGACCACAGGTACATCCTGAGAAGATGGACCAAACAAAAGCCAGACTCACCTTTCTTCTCTTAGCTTTGCATACTTCTCCAAGTCAGGTTTGATCTGCCTGGTCAGTCTCTGATACTGACGCATCTGAGCAGCGGCATAATCTGTTGAGCAAAAATAAATGGCTTTTGAACAGGAGGCCTGTCTCAGGTGGTGATGGTGGAAACTGCTGACATAGAAATTCCATAGGGGTTTTCAAGGCAAGAGACATTCAGAGGTGGTTTGGCATTGCCTGCTTCTGTGTAGCAACCCCAGATCTCCTTGGTGGTCTCCCATCAAAATACTAACCAGGGTTGACCGTGCTTAGCTTCCAAGATTGGACTAGCCTGGGCCACCCAGGTCAGGGCAGCCCCATGTTAATAATGGCTCGCTTTAATCATATTTACTGACTGGGGCAACCCTTCTGTTCTTACCTGAAAACCCAAGATCCGGATTTCTTTTCTTCCTCTTCCTCTCAAAACGTTCTGCATCCTCTGCGCTGATTTCTAACAGCTTCACTCTTTCATAATCTTCACCTTTTGCCACACATTCCTAACACATTGCAAGCAGGTTTTCAGGGGGTTGAAGCACAAGTATGAAACCTGCCTCCTAGAGAATCTTCCTGAGAAGTGTGTCTTCCACAAAATATAACTAATACCAAACTACACCTTATGTTAGGGATCTGTTTTTTTTTTTAAAATAATATTTATTATTTATAATATTTAATTTTTAAAAGTAGCATGGAGGGGACCAGAGAGCATACTGGACCAGGCATGCAGCAGTGAAGATAGATAACAATGCTGAGAGATGCTGTGGTATAGTAGTTAGAGTGCTGGACTAGGATGTGGGAGACCCAGGTTTGAATCATGGCTCTGCCATGGAAGCTTGGCTGCAACTTCTTCCAGAAAACAGAGCGCAATCTGATCATGAAATGTGTCAGAACCCACAGCCAACAACAAAGTACATGCATTCAGGAACGGTGATACTTTTATTGCAAAGCTATAGATGCAGTAACACAGGCACTGTTAGGAATGGCGGCACTCAATAGAACCAAATAGGATATAGGGTATTCGTATGCAAACCCCCCCCCATGGCATGGGCCAATAAGGTACCCTCCCGCGTGCGGGCTGGCTTAGGAAACCGTTAGGTGGCGAAAGCCGGGAACCAGGAGTCTCTCACGGTAGCTGGGAGACCTCCAGACAATACAACGTTCTCCTGCACATCTGTAGAGATAAGCGTTACAGGCAAGGGAGAGCAGCAGGGAAAGGAATGCAATAGCAATTAACAAGACACAGAATTAACTCCCCAACCCCCATGGCAGCATAGCTGACAGTGAGACACAACAGGCCGTTTTGCCCAGAGGCTCAAAAATATGTAAGACAGCTTGCAAAGTGATGCAGATTTTTCTCTTCTAATATCCACGGTCTATGTTTGACATCTCAGATGATCCTAGCTTAGGCAATGATATGGCATATGTACCTATAGGTACAACAATGTGGGTCGGGGATATTTTAAACATTCGTTTCCCACTGCAATCTTATTCTATTAAATTGCATAGTCTTGCCTCTTCAAATGTAACCAGGTTGTTTTTCTTGCTTTTAGATCTGCAATATACTAACGTACCTTACGGGGTGCAGGGGATTACCAAGAAAACATAGGTGATGCTTTCAGCATTCAACAGCACTATATGAAATACTAATCATATGTGGACACCATTTAAGGGTGCTTACTCTCCAGTAAAGCAGCTCAGGATCAGGCTGTAAGAGATTAAGGCTGAATTTTGTTCTTGGCCAATGGGAAGACAGATCGAAGGCTCATGACGATGAGGGGCAACTGGGCTCCATAGCATGCTTTGGGGCACTGGTGGGATGGAATTTTGGAACGGGAATAAGAATGCACCATTCTGACTGGCACAGACTGATCATGCATGCAAACATTACCTTTTTCTTTTCCTCCACCTTCAGTTCCCATTCTAAACGGGACTTTTTGGCTTCCCAGTTCGCTGGTAACTTCAGCCTTTTATCCTCCTCCACAACTTCCTGGTGATTTAACTTGCGAGCTTCATTCTAAAATGCAAGCACGAACAGAAAGACCTTGGAAGCCTGCCCATTATCAGCAATGGGCTGGCTAGTCTGGACCACAGAAATGAGAAG